GATGTGTCAGCCCATACAACTCACTGCACTACTTGTAAAAGTAAACAGTAATTTTTGGTTCTCATGTTTTTTGTATCAGGAGCAAGATAAATTTTATAATTACAATCTGGATAATGCCAGCTGTAAGCAAATATGCATTCAGCTCCTGAAACACAGGTTGGGTATTTTGGGAGTGTTTTTTCCTAAATAAAATTAGGCATTAATTTGCCTTGCATGGCAATATAAAAATGTTCCAGGTAGGGGGTTAGGGTTAGGATTAGGATTAGGGTTAGGGTTACTGCTGGAAATCATTGTCTATAATACAAATATTGGTGTAAGTCACCTGTTTTTAAAAAAATAGATTTATATTTTCTAGCAGTACACCCATGTCAGATGTGTCAGCCTACACAACTCACTGCACTACTTGTAAAAGTAAACAGCAATTTTTGGTTCTCATGTTTTTTGTATCAGGAGCAAGATTAATTTTGTAATTACAATCTGGATAATGTCAGCTGTAAGCAAATATGCATTCAGCTCCTGAAACACAGGTTGGGTATTTTGGGGGTGTCTTTTCCTGAATAAAATTAGGCATTAATTTGCCTTGCATGGCAATATAAAGATGTTCCAGGTAGGGGGTTAGGGTTAGGGTTAGTGCTGGAAATCATTGTCTATAATACAAATATTGGTGTAAGTCACTTGTTTTTAAAAAATAGATTTATTTCTTCTAGCTGTACACCTGTTTCAGATGTGTCAGCCCATACAACTCACTGCACTACTTGTAAAAGTAAACAGTAATTTTTGGTTCTCATGTTTTTTGTATCAGAAGCAAAATAAATTTTGTAATTACAATCTGGATAATGTCAGCTGTAAGCAAATATGCATTCAGCTCCTGAAACACAAATTAGATATTTTGGGAGTGTCTTTTCCTACATTTGAAGCATTAATTTTCCTTGCACAGCAACATAAATATGTTCCAGGTAGGGGGTTAGGGTTAGAGTTAGGGGGTTAGGACTTAGGGTTAGGGTTAGAGTTACTGCTGGAAATCATTGTCTATAATACAAATATTGGTGTGAGTCACCTCTTTTTAAAAAATAGATTTATTTTTTCTAGCAGTACATCCATGTCAGATGTGTCAGCCTACACAACTCAGTGAATTACTTGTTAAAGTAAACAGCAATTTTTGGTTCTCATGTTTTTTGTATCAGGAGCAAGATAAATTTTATACCTCTAGATAATGCCAGCTATAAGCAAACATGCATCCAGTTCCTGAAACACAGGTTAGGTACTTTGGGAATGTCTTTTCCTACATTTGAAGCATTAATTTGCCTTGCATAAATGTGTTCCAGGTAGATGTTTCGCAGTGTTTGCTTTTCAAAGGCAGAATTTTACATTTTCTGAATTCAAATCCTGCCGTAAAATTTCAATGGGAAGCAGGAGAAGAAGATTCCAGGGCAGTTTTAGCTCAGTCAGGATTCACCAGGTTGAGAATGGCAGCAGGAGGGGGATAGAATGGCACGAAATACACAAAATTCATGCCTAAAATTCAGTTTCCTCACAGGCAGCGAGTTGAAATATTTAATTTTTTTTTTAAATTTCCTTTTTTATCTCCTCAGAATCGTCACGAAATGCTGACCTTGGAGCCTCTGAATTCACTCCTGAGGATGAAATGGAAGAAGTTTGCACGGCACATGTTTTTCATGTCGTGCTGTTTTTATTTCCTCTACAATGTAACATTAACATTGGTTTCCTACCACAGGCCTAATGAAAATGAAGTGAGTAAAGCAGTTAAATCTCACCAAATTTTATGGATTTAAGAGGCAATGAATTGTATTTAAAATGCTAAAAAAAAAGCCTGATGTTGGGTTATCTCAGTATTTTTTTATGTATTATTTCAGCAAATACAGAATACAAAGATGGTTAAATTTCTAAAGGTGTGGAGTGGGTGTTTTGTTTCTCTTTCAAGAAAGAAATTTCTGATATTTCCAATGCTTCTGTCAGGGGTCTGATTGTATAAATTCATAAAGAAAATTCTCACAGGAAGGGAAGAAATTTGGAATCCAGAGAGTTACAGATGTGAGGGTTTCTTGTTGCTTTGCCTTTTACCCATCAGGGGTGGAACTGAAATTTTCATTCTGGAYTCTTCTTGCAGGCTCCTCCTTACCCACTCGCCCTGACCCGTGGGGTGGGGTGGCTGCAGTTGTCAGGACAGGTGATGGTTATGTTAGGAGCAATATTTTTAGCCATAAAAGAGGTAAGATCGKTTTTTTTAGTAATAAAAATACAGCTAAATTTGTGAAGAACTTCTCTAAATTTATAAATATGCTGATGATGATATTGGCAATACATTTGGAATATCTTTGATATGTGTAATTTGTAAGTCTTTGGCACAATTCATCATTTATTCAGAAGAGCCCTGGTTATATATTTGAATSCAGCTATGATACAAATATGAGGGTATTTTATTTTCAGATTCTCAGTGCAGAGATCTGATATTTGTGTAATATCAATATTGTCAATTATTGGCTTTAAGGACAACTGAATTGCAACTTGTAATGAAAAAAGCTCTCCATTATATAATTTTGGTATGTACAGTAAATAATTTAAAACAGTAACTTAAATTATGCCAGAGATGATAGAATTTTAACCTTTGAATTTACAGCCCTATAAAAAAATTAATTCTGGAAGTTACCACATCAGTAGATGGATTGTTTTAGAACAGCACTTAAATTATTTTGAAAAACAGATTTTGAGGCCTGTTTTCTCTTCCAACCACGCCTGTATTTTCTGTATTTTCTGTATTTTCTGTATTTTCTGTATTTTCTGTATTTTCTGTATTTTCTGTATTTTCTGTATCTGCCTGCACAGAGTGTGGCCATTTTCCTGCTCAGGCCCTCAGACCTGCAGTCCATTCTCTCTGATGCCTGGTTCCACTTTGCATTGTAAGTCTGACACGCAAATATATATATTTTATACTCTATATAAAATCCTGCTCCATCTCATGATCTCAGAGAATGTGCTCCTGTAGCAAGTATTTACTTTTTTTTCTTTAAATGATCAGTTTTGGAGTGATGGATGTAATCTCACCTGCAGCTTTTCTGTAACACAAACTATTGGTTGCACTGTCAGTAATAGTATCAGGGTTGATGTGCATGGAGTGGATTTTTCCTACCTGTTCATGGAAAATCTGCAATTATTCTATCAATTTGTTAAGCTAAAGCTGCAATTAAATGGTTTCTGAGATGATATTAAGGATTCTTGATGTCTCTGTTAGGAAAAGCTGCTGTTTTGGGGAGAACAGTTTACCTAAATTAAGCTTTAATAAATATAATCCTCATATGTTAATATATTCATACCACTTGCACTGACCTGTTTTATCATTAAACTATAAAGGTAATTTCATGGGGAGAATAAAAAGCAGCATGAAATTACAAATTAAGCCTAAAGAGCAAAGCAATCTTGTTTTCATATTTTTCCATTCTGTTGTTGGTTTTGTGCTAGTAATTTCTCTTTTACATATATGTTTGTTTTTTAACAGTTTTATACAAGCTTTGCTTGTGATCTTCTCTGTCTTTTTGTACTTGTTTTCCTACAAAGAACACCTGGTGTGTCTTGTTTTGGCAATGGCCCTTGGCTGGGCCAATATGCTCTATTTCACCAGAGGTTTCCAGTCCATGGGCATTTACAGTGTGATGATTCAAAAGGCAAGTTTTTCTTTTGTTTTACCTGCCTTGTTATGATGCTCAAGTGTTTTACAATCCTAATCAAGAATATTCAGTAATTATTTGTGGTTTTTAGTTCATTTTGAAAYATCTTATTTGGAGTTTTTATGTATTATTTCAGCAGAACACACTGCATAGCTCCAACAGCAGGAACTGTTTATCTCTAAATATTGACATTTTATTGCATTAAATATGTGAGTAGCTTGTGGGTTTTTTTCAGCTAATGCAGTTCTGCAATTTAATTGCATCCTAATTTGTAATGTGTGTGTTGTACAGAATYAGTCACTCTCAGAGAACACACCAGGCATGAGATTAAAAATCAGACTTTTGGGAATTTCAACCAGTTTTCTCCCTGAAAGCAAGCTCATGCTTTACKGTGTGCCTCACCTATATCCCTGCAGAATTCATAAGCATTAAACTGGCTCTGAATTTTAATTTCTGTCAATTATTCCATTMCATTTTTAGGTCATCCTGCAAGATGTGATCAAGTTTTTAGTTGTCTATATCGTCTTTYTGCTGGGATTTGGCGTAGGTAAATATTACTGGAGAAAAGCACTGATGCTCTGTGTGAGTAAAAATTTCAGCATTATTACGAATAAGAGCCCTATTTTCATGATGAAAGCTCATGTTTGGGGTTTCTTCTGGATGCTGAGTTTAGATGTGAACAGATGAATCATTTGGCTTGATCTCAATCGCCTGGAATTTCATTTGGATGTGGGTTCTTTCTGCTTCCTGGAACTCTGGCTGCTGTGTGTGGCTGGGGCAGCTCTGTCTCTTTTAGGCACTTTGAATTCTTTAGGATGAGATGCCCTGTGTTCCTAAATTATGATTGTGACTGGAATTTCCTTGTGCTTTCTTCTCAGCTCTCGCTGCTCTGATTGAGACGTGCCAGGAGGGTGGAGAATGCCATTCCAACAGCAGCCTGGGACCTGTGCTGATGGATCTTTTTAAGCTCACCCTAGGACTGGGTGACCTGGAGATCCAGCAGAACTCCAAGTACCCTGTGCTGTTTCTCCTGCTCCTCATCACTTTCGTTGTGCTGACTTTTGTTCTTCTCCTGAACATGCTGATTGCRTTAATGGGAGAAACGGTGGAAGATATTTCTAAGGAGAGCGAGCACATCTGGAAACTCCAGGTTTGTTTGGGAGTTTGCCTGATGGAGAACAGGGGCTTGGGATAAAATCCTCCTGCTGAAAGAACAGGTTGGGTGTTAACAATAATCCCCATTTGTGTTTGTGTGCAAACAGCAGACATTAATAATTCCAGTATTAGAGAACTGTAGTAACTTTGGAATTAACAATTATTCTAAAGGTGATATCTTGGCTTGGATTTCTAACCCATGCACTGTCACACACCTTTTTGACTTTAATTCCCCTGGATTTGTCACCAGGATGGTGTGTTCTGCTATTTTTCCAGGAATCTGTGAATCCCACATTTGCACAAATAGTCTATGCTGTGTTATTTGCTGTTGTTGGTGTTGGCTCTGGGTAGAGGCTTGAAATGTTATAATTCATGTGCATGCTGTGAAATCAGACCAGGACTAACCATGCTTATCTTACTTTTTACTGTTAATAGAGAGCCAGAACTATCTTGGAATTTGAAAAATTCTTGCCAAAGTGTCTGAGGAAAAAATTCCAGCTGGGAGAACGGTGTAAAGTGGCTGAAAATGACACAAGGGTGTGTTTAAGGTAACGCAAAACTAGAATCATGGGCTATCAATTCTGGTCTCTGTATGCTGCTTCAAGGTTATTTCTCCTCAAAACCCTCTTTAAAATATTTCTRTTATCTCTACAAATTATGCTAGGTRTATTAAAAAAAAWTSAGTTGTGACCAAWTGTAYMAAAAGGGAAAATTATATWCATTTTTATGTAGACAGTTTTTTGGTAAGAAAGCAGATTTTCATCCTCATATGTTTTTACTGCAAAGGCAGCAAATCTGCTTGCAGTAAATGTCACTTTATCATAATCTCCTTTGAATGTCAACTTAAAAGCAATCATAGTTAAACTAATTGGTAATTGATGATTACCATATTAAAGAACAGTGCTGTTCAATGAAAAGTACTTAAATATTTCAAGACTGTACTAACAATGTGTGAAATTATGAAGTGGTCTTAGAATTATTCTCACCTTCATATAGTGCATAACACTGCAAAAGACATTCAGCATTTCAGTYCCAGCAAAGCAGGTGGTAAAGTGTGACAAACCCAGGAAGGAATAAAGGGAAAAAAAGGAAAATGCAATGATGTGGTCGGGGAATAATGCATAATGATAACACAATTTATATACAATGCAAACAGGATTAATGAAGTGAAATGGACCGAGTGGAAAACMCATGTTTCATTTATTAATGAAGATCCAGGGCCAACAGGTACTGTGGAAATTTATGACACCATATTTGTAGAATATTCTCTTCTTAGCAGTGCTTTGATATAGTTTTATAACTTTAAAAGATAAACTATTACATTAAAACACACATTATTCCTAGAGAAACTAATAGTTAATATGGCAGTGGTGTAAAATTACTTTTAAAGGCTTGGAGAGAGGGCTGGCTACAAATAAGTTTTGTAATGTATAGATTGGATAAATATAAATGTTGGCCACGAAACCCAAGACATCCATCTACTGCCAGGGCAGAAGTGTCCTGGAGAAATGAGCTCCCTCTGGGGTGAAAAATTTCTGTAGAAGATATGGTAGTAAACTGACAGCTTGCTGTTTAAATAAATACATGTTTTAACCAAAAAAAAAAAGGTGAAAAACTCTGATCTTGCTAAACAGTTTCTACCATATCCTGTTTTGTTTACAATGCATTTTTTTGCAGATCCAAGCAAAATTCAAGATAATTCAAGAACTAATAGCAAAAACACCCTGAATACGTTTGAAGAAATGGATGATTTGCCTGAAACTTCTGTTTAGTTGTGCTGTGCTTGCCACGTGGCTGTTCTGAAGGTGAAAAGCATCAGCAGTGGATGCTGAAAGCTTTGTGGTTGTTTTGGACAGCTGTAACCAGCTGGAACACAAACTTTCAGTGACATGGGCTGATGGCTTCAACCCATTTAATCAGAGCARCTGAGCTGCAATAAATGGGATTATTCCACTGGTTCAGTTCTGAGCCTCTYAAACTGTTGCTGTCCAAGTTTGCCTGATGCTCCTCAAACTTGGCTCGAGATGTTTAAGTGGATAAAGAAAGGTCAAATGTGAGATATTTCTTCCTTTTGTGGAAAATTAAGGTCATCGTGAGCCCAATCTGCTGGTTTTTGGAATCTCTAACTCATGAGAAACTCATTTTGTACACTAAAAAAAAATCCTAAGTTCTTGTCATGGAGAAAAGCAAAGCATTTCAGTTCTGAAGACGACTAAATGAAGTATGGTATTTTGAAATAACAATGTTCTGGGTGCATTTGCAGCTTTTGCATTGACTGTCAGTGTTATTGGAGGCTTGGTCCCACAAATTGGAAAAAGCTTCTTCAGGTCCCAGTAGTTTTGCCTGATCCCTTTTCCTCTGTGCATCCCCCAGGGTGTAATGTGGAGTTTGTTTATTTATTACTGTGTGTCCATGCCTCCCCAGAAAACAACAGGGCAGAAATATAATTCCTGATGGAGGATATTTCTGAGTTTTCTCCAGTCACAACATCCTTTTACTTTTCTTCCTTGGCTTTTCCATGCTGTTGCATCTTGCCACATAAAAGGTTACCACACTGGAAGTTCTTCTGAATTAATTTTTGCATCCAGCCACTTCAGGAAAACAAGATGTCAGTATTTCTTCCCAAGATAAACRAACTAAGTTCAATGCAATGCAATYCCAGACTTTATTTTTTATTCAGAGGACTCTGTTATGCATTTCTGTAGCTCTTATTTCACAACCTGTGATGACCTGGTACTATGAATGATATTTTTAGTTTTCTATTTGATGTGTATATATAAACATTTGTTCTGTGTGCTTTTAAATTTCAATTAACACRTCATGTGTCTCCAGTGTCATGGCTTTTCATCAGATCAGTTCACGTGGTGCCTGTTTTAAAGGTGCTAATTTTAGGTAAGACTCAGGGGAATTCARTTCTGCGTTTGAATGATAATAAGAATTGCATTGGATTTTGCAGCTGTGGGCAAAATGGTCCAAAAGACTTTCTTAAGACAGAAGAGARCGTGAGGGAACACTCCAGTGGGAAGGATAAAGCAAAGATATTTACAGGGATGGTTGAASGTGGGTCCTGCTGCCCAACCAGCCTCCTACAGTCGCTGAATCTTGAGCTTCCAACCATTCCTGAGTTTCCACGGCCTGGATGGATGGGATCCAAAAGACATTTCAGCTGTGTTCTTACAGGGAATTCGAGGGGAAGGACATTTGTGTACCCACAGCCTGTAACACCTGARCGTTGTTGGGCTTTCTCAGTAAATGTGAGGATGAGAAGAAAAATTCCTGCGGTCTTGGAATCTTTGACYTTTGCTGGTTAATTTTGCACCACAACTGCCAAGGAAGGACTTTGCCTTAGGACTGCACATGTCTGTCTGGATTATTTCAGTGCCAGTTTTTGTACGAAATGGGAAAATACCTCTTCACACACACTCAGGAGCCAGACTGAGCCACGGTGCTGTGGTCACTGGAAACACAGCAAGACCTCTGCACTGTGCCGAGGCCACACTGGGATGTGAAACAGGGAAGGCACAAAAAACCCTAAAAAATATGCTGTGCCACTGTCCAGATACAAAACTGTGTGGATAAGCCCAGCTTGTTCCCGATTTTTTTTCCTAAAAGCTCTTACTGAGGGAATACCATCCTTGTGTGGCCCCATCACATATCTCTTGTGTCCAGGCTCTTACCAAGGATGCTCTGAATAATGGTTGGAGCAGGTAATTCGGTGCTTTTTTTATACTATGTTTATTTAAATTAAGGAAATAAAACTTGTAATTCAATAAACATTCTGTCTTGTGTTTTTTAAAAAAAATTTATTGCCATAGAAGTTACACAAAGGAAAGGAAAAAATAATTTTAGTAGAGAACAAGGATGACATCACTCTTCAAAGGTGTAACATGGGAGTTATTTGGACAATTAATTTTTCAGTTAAATAATTAATGTATCCTTATGCAAAGTTTTTGATCACCAAATTGTCAAAATTTATCACCAAATTGTCAAATATGTTAAAAACAATTTTAGAAAATTAATTAAACCCTCATTTTCTTCTCCTTTTAAGATATTATGACAGACTTTGTCTCTACAAATRCACAACAAGTCTCTGGATTCTGAGAAGTCTCCCCATATAGAATTCTTCCTAATTTCCATTCTGAAATACTCAGGTATGGTTTGTGCACTGTTCTGCACCAAAACCAGAGTAATTGCCTAAATCTTGCCTTAAATCAGAAAYAGCTTGAATTAATTGTGAAATACACTAAAGTGGAATGTAAAGCCTTTTAGAGTATATTTCTCTGAGATCTTGCTTTTAGCTTGGTTTATTTTTGTAAGAATAAAAAGAAAAGCAAAACAACCCCCAAGGGTTCCACTTTCAGTCACATATGCAGATAATATAATTTTCTATACATACCCTTGCTCTGTTTCTATCTGCCCAGTTCTTTCTTTGTCTCACGTTTTCTGTGTTTACCTGAGGAATTAATTTCAAGAATCAACCCCCGTAAAAAGTGTTGGTTACTGAGGTTTGGGGTTATGAAGTAGAAAAAGCGTAATTTTTATATATAATGTAGTACTGAGGATGAGCTGCTTCATAAAAACTTCACAAAAATATTTATAAATTCTTTRCATCTATAGGAGTCTATTAGAACAATAAACAGGAGTCATAATCAGCATTATGACAATAGGTCTCAAAGTGCTCAGCAAGGTTAATTAAATTACAATTTAAAATTAGATTCTGCATTTATTTATCCCATGAATTACTACTGAATGACCCTGGACTTCACAAAGAAACCCATTTTTTTGCATGAAAAATCTGTAATAAGCTCCTAAGAAGAGCTCTGGTCTGAGACTGAYGACCTGAGGTGTTTTGCAGTGAGTTTAATTTTCTCTGTTTTTACAAAAGCTTGTTTCTTTTCATAATATGCAGCTTCATTAATGAATGTTGGGTAGACTGTACAGTTACCCTGATATGGAATTACTTCTCCATCAAGAGTCAAAAATAGAGGATCACCATTCTTCAGGGGCTGCCAGTCTTGATCCTTAAGGAAAGAAAATAAATAGAATATATTTACTTTCAAGTTTTTGTGTATTYTATGTGATTCCTGAGTTAATGCTAACTATGCTAATTTCAGCAGTTTATGGCAAAAGCTTTCAAAATAATTCCTTTTGATCTTAATACATAATATTGGGTGTCTGGCCTTCGTTTTCAGGCTTGTAGAGAATTCAGTGGTAAAGTGAACTACACCCATTTTAGAATTTAAAATTAGATTTATATTAAAAAATATAAGCTATCTTATTGTCTTTTAGTGATTTTAGATTCAGYGATTCCCAAGACAGTTCCTGAAATAATGTCTGTATGACCTTAGTGAGAGAACTTGACCCTAGGGGACGTCTAAAGCATTCAATAAAACCCATTGGCAATATTAGCATTTTAAATATTTATTACTAAAATATACAATGTAGCAGAAGCAACATAGGAATAAGCAGGGAAYGCCACAAATGGTAACAATTCTAGAATTTACCTGTAGTTTAGGATGAATTATAGCAATAATTTCACCATTCTTATTCCTGGGATAATCTACTTTCTCCATTATTTTAAAAACCTCGATGGTACATGGTGGAAATTCCTTTCCTAGAAAAAATAAATGTAATTTAATGTCAAGATGAAAAACTGCCTGTTAAAAAGAACATTGCATTATTTATTCTCTATAGAATAGCTCAAATCATCAGGTTGTCCCCTCAAAACCAGGCTGCAGAAAGATGGTCCAGTCATTTATTTGGGYATAGGAAGTCCAGGACTAAATTTGCTACTGAAATTGTGACTTTTTCACTTAAAAAAATCCCTATCATCTTGTAGATGAAGAAATCAATGAAAGGTCTGTTTGCACAGCACAGSAGTGTATCAGTGGTATTTAATGTTTACTATTTCAGCACAATAATGGAAATTCTGACATACAGAACTGTATTATTTTCCTTCTATTAAAAAAACAAACAAACAAACAAAAAAAAAACAAAAACCAACAAACCCACTGACAAAATACACTCTGAAAGAATTTTAAACACCTATTTTGTCAGAATATATTTTGGATCGTGCACAGGTCTGACTAGTTTTAGAGAACAATTCTCCCTCCACCTTTTACCTGTTTAACTGTGAAATATTCTAGCCCAACCTATTTTTTTTTAAATATTCTCCTGCAATAGTCCACTGCCATGACCCAGGAGGCTGTAATCTCTCATTACCTTCATTAAAAAGTTGTATGAAATCAAGGCCATGTTTGACAATCTTCCTCATTTTGTCCAAAACATCAGCTCTAGCAACACCTTGTGGCTGGGGCCCCACCTCGACACCTGTTGGCAGATGAGGGAGATTATTAATGCCACTTAATTAATGTCACCATCATACATCACAAGATTACACTGCACAGCAGAAATAAATGTCTGATAGGTCGGTATATAATGTTTAAGAGGGATTGTAAGGCACAGAATTATGTATTTTTTTAAGGCAAGCAAGTCCTTCTCACATGTTACAAATATTTTCTGCAAATAGTGTGTTGAGTTTAAGAATTTCCATCTTGTTYCTGTGTTTTGTAAGCCAGAACTCTGATTCTGTAAATCAGAACTCTTTAGAAGAATGGATAATCACATACATTCAATTTGGTAAATATATTGTCACACAAACAGCTCCTGGTGATCAGAGCACCCTACACAAGGCAGTGAACTGAACAGCCATATTTCAAAATCCTTTATGGTGGGCTTAAAGAGTCTTTAGGTTTCATATTTACCAACAGGATGTTTTGCCACAGATCGAGTTGTTGCATATTTCAGGCTGGGATGTTCAATCAGCAGAACAGGACAAGGTTCTGGAGCCAAAGCGTTCTGTGGAGATGGTTTAAAAACGYCTTTGTTATGCAAATGGTTTAAAATGTTGTGCCACAAAAGATTAYTGATGCAGAAGTGATTTACACAATGTCTTCAATATGTTGCCTTTATTTCAGGGCCCTCAAGGAAGTAGGACATCTTTAGAAAATGCACAAAGCTGTGTTTGTTGGTGTCTGTTCCATTAACTGATGCCAGGCAGCTCCACTGAACCAGAACTGAGCACAGTTCTGTCTTGAACTGCCAGCAGAGAAAAATCTCCTCAGCACGGTTCCAAAACTGAGAATTGAAATAYCATAAAGCAGATTTCAACTATTTTATTTGGGGTTAGACTCCAATTCTCTTACAGGGACACAGATTGTGAATTAAGCCTTATTTAAATAATCTTCATTAGCATTTTTGCTAATTTTTAGGTTTCTTGATGACAGCCCATTAATCATAAGCTTTCTAGATCTTCAAATATTTTTATAAGCATTAAAAAAGAATACATGTAATAACAATTAAAAAGAAAATAAAAAAAGACCTTGTTTCTAAGGAAAAAAAATTAATTAAAATTCTACACCATTGTTCTAACCTGGATTCCATTAGTCATTGTCTAGGTCACCAGAATTCAACCAAATTTTGCCTAAACCAGCACTTCTGCAAACCTCACTCTACCAAAATTTATCAGCTTCAGGAACAGCAAAATCAAACATCTTCTAAAGGCACATCACTGATAAGGGAACATTTTTCATTACCTACTTCCATTATTTTTTACATGTCTTTATTTAATGAAATTAATGTTTAACTATTTAACATGTGTGACCCAAATTTATCCAAGTTCCTGACATATCAGTGTGAAAGCAGATTAAACTGTATTAATTTTCATAGATGTTATTCTAAGTATTCCTCTTTGCCCATCAGTCTTAATAATGCTCATCTTAATACATAAAGATATGATGAGTATAAAATCTGAATTACCTGATATAATCAAATTAATAATTGCCTCTGATTAAAAAAATTCATCCTATGAGTAATGAAATATTTTAAACAGTCTTTCAGAAGAAAAAGTAGTATATTTAAAGAAATTACAAAATAATATATAGTAATACAACATTGCAACTAATGATCTATTTTAATAGTTCATTTAAATTAGTTTTACCTTGATATAATGAACCATTTGAATTGTAAAGTCATCCCTGGAGTTTTCAAGAATAATGGTACCACCCATGTTAGAAGTGGTGTTGTGAAGGTCAAAAATAAGGTCATAGGCATCATCACTACCTTTGGGACCAAATATATGATTGATTTCCTGAGCCCTTCTCACTTCATATGGAATATCTTCCACCACTGGCCTGCTGTTAATATCAGCACAAAGAAATTAGTAAGCTCATTCCATGGCTTTACAGTCAACAAAATATGTATTATCCTTTTCTTTTTATTTTAATTCCAGATTGACTGGAGTTGAAATCACCTGTTTAATTACCAAACTTAAAATCAGCTGAATTTGTTGAAGAAAGCAAGTGTGATTGTCTTATAATTGTCTTATTATTATTTGTCTTGTGCAGAAGGGTAYTAGAATTATTCAATCAAAATTTGGCAGGAAATTATTTATTTCTCCTTACACTCCAAAATTTCCCCCTATGTATAAAACTAAAAATTTATCAGCAACATAGAGCACTTCCAAGACTGGATGCATCTCCTACTGGAGACCATATTCAGACATCAGTCCATGATGTTTTGACTTGGACATCACCCTCAAGATTTTTTGTCATCTTGTCTTCTYATAATCTGATCAGACTTCTACAGTTTATTCCTTTGAGCCTTCTGATTCTCAAAGCTCAGTGAACATTTTGTTACTTCAAATCTGTTCCYCCAAAGTTTTAACACTTGTGATTTCAGGTGACTCTGTACATCACATAATCCACCTTTGTATTCTCTAGTTCTCCCTTTGAARTTCAGTGTTTCCTCACATATGACTGTTAATTCTTTTTTTATTGAAACCAATGGGACTTCCACCATTACTTTCAGTAGTATCAGGAYTTCCTTTCTCTTCATCTGTAAAATTATTTGTAATCTTGAAGGTTCTATACTTAAGGGACTAGGGGAAGGTACTCCAAACATGCACTAGTGCTGTAATTAAATCAGGCAACTTCATATCATTTTCTGATGAGTATTAGTTCAAAAATGAAGACAACCTGCAGGTGTCTTAATTCACTGTTTTTTCAAGTGTTCTGTGTTCAAAGCAGCTGAAAACAAACAATTCCACTCTTTTTTTTTTGTATGTTTTTCCAAAGTAAGCAATTAAAAGAATGGCATCAATGCTTATGTGTTAACACCTGTTTATCTTAGCTATAATAACAAGAAAAATCTAAGATGAAAGCMAGATGGAAAGATCTTCAGGGTAAGAATAACTGTGCCTGCAAAATACATACAATAAGTATTTGTATTTCTTTCTGTGAGATTCCCCTTTACTATTAAAACTTTTCTGAAACAGAATTACCTAGTTAGTAATTCAACCAACAATGTTTATATAGCAAAGTACACCTCTGGAAYAGACATCTCAAAAGCACAGAAACATCAAATCCTACTAAAAATATAAAATCAGTTACTATTTTACAGTAATTACTGATAGTATTTCTTTTAAAATAATGAGTCAGTTAAATATAGAGGTTTTTGGCTATCCTTTTGTCTTAGAATAGACTATTTCTAACTTCAAGTTTTTCTAATTTCAGGTTTTCACCTTTTACTGTACGTAACTGGAATTAAACACCCTTGCCTGATTTCTGTGCCATTCTTTCAGATACTCCGATGTCCATGTTTAAATTGCTTTTATCTGCTATTTCTTGTTAATCTAATTGCATTCAGAAGAGCTCCAAAATTGAATTGCACAAGACATAAGAAATAACGATTCTCTAACTCAGAACAGTGATACTTCAATTCATACAAATGCAGCTCMTCTAATACTAATTTAAAATGCTGCTTAAGATAATGTGCTGGTMTGAGACTCATTCTACTCCAGCAACAGAAATGAATCTGTTAACACTCATGCAATTTGTTCTTTTTTTGGGTTAAAGGTCAGTAATTTCAGTTATGTGACTGCGCTGTTAAAGTAGTRGTGGAACTTGTGTTGAGCATTTTAATCTGGGAAGGATTAAGTTTTAAAAAGGAGAAAAGTAAAACGACAGAAAGCACAACTGCTCTTACCCAAGGTTCTCGGGGTCAAAAACCCGGTTGAGATCACAGTCAATGTACCTGGTGCACCTCTCCACAGCTCTGGGGTTGGTGAGGAAGGGTTTCACTTCCACTCCGGCTCTGCGGATCTCAGCCCCGTCCTGCTGCCAGTGCCTGACCAGGAGCACCCCCGATAATTCATTGCCGTGGGTGCCCCCGAAGAGCCCGACCCGTCTCACCGGAGCACACGGGGAACTCATGATCTGCAGCAGCTCCGGCAATTGCTGAGGGTAAAACACAGAATAATGCTCAAGGAAAACTTCTGTCTCTGAGAAAAAAAAAAAATTAAAAATTCTTTCCAGTAGGAGATACTTTCTTTGGTTAGGTCAGACGCAAAAGAAAGTGAATGAATTTCTCCCAACAGTTCTGGACTCTCGTTTTGAGGCGGGATTTTCCAACCTGACCCACCTCCCTCCCCAAGGAGCCTCCCCTTCAGTTTCCGTATTTAGCAACATCTCCAAGGCTGTTAATGGCACGGTTRCACAGTCCAAAAGTTAACTCTGGTCAGTCTTTATAATACATGAGATGTAGGTAAAGACTCTACTAATGAACAGTATAAAAGACTTTTTTTTTTTTTTTTTGCACTTAAACATCTCTGGCATTTTTGCACTGCAAACTAGGTGTAACAGGTATTCTCATGTATGTTTGAAGTTACATAAGTATTACATTATATAAGCGCAGAATGATTTAAAGTGAGCAAAACCAGCAAAATAAGAATCATCTTGGCTCTAGTCCAGCACACAATGCTGAAACATCAAGTATTTTCATCCAAAAAAAGCCAAGAACAGCTGAGTTCCTCAAAGCACGTCGTGGCTTGTACGACCTTTTTTGTTTTAGAAACCCGAAGAACAGTGATTAGAAGGAACATGAGCTGAAATTACAGTGCAATTTATCCACCACTGACTTACCCAGAGTTCTGGCTCCAGCTCTATCTCKGGATCTGCTAACGCAGACCTCTAACACATTGAAACAACTTTGCCAGGGACAGCCCTAAAACTTCTGCAGTGTCTTATTAAAAAGGAAACAGATCAAGACCACGACGGGACAATAGTTCTGTTCTCTCCCCAAAAAACTTCAGTCAGCAACTTTTCTTCCATTTCCAAAAGCGTTCAGAAAGGCTTCTGAAGCTTAAGCCAAAGAGCAACTGTAATTTCCATCCTGAGAATCAAAACATTTGGAATAAAAGGTCTTATTAACAGAAAAGCAAGTTTTATTGCTGTAAACGACAGAAGTATTTGAAATCGGTATCCGACACATGATATAAACATAACAAATATTAGATTGCAAGAGAATAAAGAATGTTTATTGAACAATTCCTTTTTATTARGATTATACTCCAGTGACTGAGAGTATTTGGCCAGTGCCTGGGAGAGGCTTTACAACCCAGACTGACTGACTGTAGTCAAGTTCTGCCAGGAATATAATTTCTACAAAAGTTGCACACTCTGTTTCGGTTTATATTTCCAGATTTGCTGAACCCTACAGTGAGTTAATACAAAGAGGCTGTTTACTTAAACACTCAACTGTATTACTCTGTACTTAGGAGCTGTCAGATATTTAATCAGAGTGAGTAATTTATTAAACAAAGCAGTAAAGTTGCATTTCACAGCACAGGACAGTCTGTGCTGTCCTTTGACCCTGTCTCTTCAGYGGTGGTGCCAGAATTATGAGTGACACAACTTCCCCAAAACACAACTCACACTCTGAATCTGGGTTTGCTGAATTTAAACACRGCAGCAGTTGAAGAGTAAAGAGCAAACATGCAGGGCTGGAATAYATAGTTTATCTTTTATAGCTGTTGGCACTGTAATGGTTGTAATTCCTTCCAGAACGCTGAATGAAACACAGAGATCGCCTGTGCACTTGCCTCACTTAACATGCAAGAAGTTTGTCTCCTAAGGAGAGCGTTTTTTAGGACAGAGACAGTGAATTTCCAAACATGAGTTTAGGAACTAAATCCATGGAAGCTTCTTTTATCGACTTAGAGCAGTTCTCATCCAAACACTTTTAACTCCTGCTCTCCCGGGACCTGCCAATTTGGGGATGAATGGAAATTCTCAGGGAAGGTTTTCACTCTTCAGGGTTAAACACTGGGAACCATCCCTTATTCCCGTGCCAATACTCACACTGTTAAAAAGGATGTGGGATATTTAGTTTAGTAAGAATTCAGATTGGTTTACTGTGCTGCATTACAGATATTTGGGGGAGCTTCTGAAAGCTTGGAATGTGTGTTGTGAGCTGGAAAACGTATGCAGTATTAAAATGTAAGTGAAATAAAGCTTAGATACTAAAAGTCTTGAGAATATAGATATATATAGAGAAAGGGATACACATATATATAGAGAGAGAGATGTACACACACAAGAAGTATATATGGCTCACCAGAGCATTCCAAGGCTGAAGGAAAAGGATTACCAAACAGGACAGGATCTAATTGTACCAAGCACTCAGATTTTAAACAGGAACCAGTCAGAACTACACGGTTGAAACCAACCAGGTATAAAAACCGCAATAGTGGCTGAAGAGACAAGTAGTGAAGAATGAGGTTAGTTTCATTTACAGCCACGTTTGTGTCCACACGCTCGTGGGAATCCAGCTTCTGTCCCAGGTTCTGTAAGGATGACAGTATACCAGCTCCTCGGGGGTGGGATAATTAATGAAATTTCACAGAGGAGGTGATTAAAGGGTTCTTGCGAATCCCAGCCGGCCCCGGCCGCGCACGGCGCCCCCTCAGAGGGTGAGAACGGGGCAGCGCCTTCCCGCCATTTCCGCATCGCCTGAGGCGCGAGCGCGCGGCCGAGTGGCCGTTATTTTTGGCGGGCTTCGCCTCAGGCCTGACCCTCCGCCGTCCCTCAGGGCTGACCCTCCGCCAGGTCCCTCAGGGCTGACCCTTCGCCCGTCCCTCAGGGCTGAGCCTCC